TTGAGCACATCACAAAGAATCTGATGCCCTTTGAGGCTTTTGTACATGCCGGTCGTGTACAATTCCTTCAGCCCTGCATCACTAGTAGTACTAGAAATGTCCTCAGATGAGGAATTAGTGATAGCAGAGACATGTGAAGAATTTGTAACATTTGAAGCATTTGAACATTCAGGTGAAGAATTAGCAGATTCACGTTCTATGCACTTCAGACATGGAGGAACAAATTCTTCCTGAGTAGCGCTGATTTGTTGAGCAAGTAATGAATCGCGCTCCTTCTGAAGATCTTCATAACTTACTCTTAGCTTCTCAAGATCTTGCTTTCTTTGAAGAAATTCATAAGAAAGCTTCTCGTGATCAGATAAGAGAGTGTTATGATGACTTTGAAGGTTGTCAAACTTAGACTGAAGTCTTTGAAGATTTTCAGTTAAGTCTTTAGTGTGGTCCATTTTATCACCCAACATGTCATCGCTCTTGTCTAGCATGTTTTGAAGTTTTTCAATAGCCTTTTGTTGTTTCACAGCAATCTTAGCAAGTTTAGAGTAGCTGGGCTTAAGATTTTCATCAGATTCATCCTCACTTGATTCAGAGGAGGGGTGTTTAGTTACCTTGGCACCCTTTGCCATGAAGCAATAGGTGGGAGTGTAGTCATCATTGCCTTCATCAGCATTGTTGGTGTTGCCATTTTCTTCAGAGTTGAAGATAGACTTGCTAACAAATGCGGTAGCAAGAGCTAGACTTGCCACACCAGACTCAGACTCCTCGGATGCCTCATCTTCCTCATGATCCTCAGATTCAGCCTCAGAATCAATTTCCTTGCCAATGAATGCCCGAGCCTTCTTGGAGCTGCTCTTCTTGTGAGATGAAGACTTCGAGGATTTTGATGATGAAGACTTTGAAGATTTCTTCTTCTTCTTGGCATCATCAGAACTGTAATCCTTGTATTTCTTCTTCTTTAATTCCTTGTCCCACTGAGGACAATCTTGAATGTAGTGACCAGGTTTCTTGCATTTGTGGCACAGACTTTTCTTGTAGTCACTAGATGAGGAATCGTTGCTCCTTGAGGATTTTCCAAAGCGACCACGTCTTGAGAACTTTTGAAATTTCTTCAGGACCAGTGCTAGTTCCTGGCTCAGTTCTTCAGGATCACCAAGGCTGTTGGTAGAGTCTTCTTCCTCAGACTCAGAGACTGCCTTGGCCTTCAAAGCACGTGCTTTGTCATAGCTCGAACCATAGAGATCTTTCTTCTCAGCAAGCTGGAACTCATGAGTGTTTAGCCTCTCGAGGATATCAGCGGGATCAAGTGACTTGTAATCAGCACGCTCTTGAATCATCAGTGCCAGAGTGTCAAATGAGGAATCGAGTGATCTCAGCAATTTCTTCACCACCTCATGGTCGGTGATGTCAGTGGCGCCAAGCGCTTGAAGCTCATTTGAGATATCAGTGAGGCGATCGAAGGTTTGCTGAACATTTTCATTGTCGAGTCTTTTGAAGCGATTGAAGAGATTGCAAAGAACGTCAACACGAGAGTCACGTTGAGTTGAGACTCCTTCCTTACTTTGGAGAGCCTATCCCAGATAAGCTTAGCAGTTTCCAAAGCACTCACTCTACCATACTGCCCTTTACTCAGATGGCCACATATGATATTCTTCGCTTGAGAATCGAGTTTCTTGAATCTCTTCACATCAGCAGCATTCAGGGAAGGTGTGATTGAGGGAACACCATTTTCCACAACATACCAGAGATCGTTGTCAATTGCCTCAAGATGCATTCGCATCTTATTCTTCCAGTAGGGGTAGTTCGTGCCATCGAAGGTAGGACACCCAGCAGAGACCTTGATCATACCTGCGGTCGACATAACCAGAACTCCAGGTGGTTAAACCAAAATCACATAGAACAAGGGAGTACCTTGCTCTGATACCAATTGAAAGTGCGTTATATCGACTAGAGGGGGGGTGAATAGGCGATTTTTATGAATTCTTCACTGAGGAATTTGCTGGTGAGGAAATTCCTAAATGAAGAACTACTTGCAGCGGAATAAGTACTCAGAAAGGAACATGACAGAACACAAGCATAGTCATCATGATGAAATGAAGACAAGCACAGAGTACAAAAAGCGTAAACACAGGATAACACAAGGAAGAAGACGAACAGACTGAAGAAATAGAACTGAGAAAATTGAGAAAGTCTTCAGTCAATGTCTTCAAACAGATATAAATAAACACACAACAACAGACATGCGGAAATGAAAGAGTTGAGGAGATAGAACCAGTTAGCTTGGTGAAGACAATGATTTGGTAGACCAGTTCCAACTGCTGTCTCAGTTGTACATCTGGTTGGAGCGGCTGAGTATTTAAACTCGAGGACACCCAGTCTCGGACACACAGTCCTCACCGTCTTCTCCTTGAGCTAAGGTCACACAGACCTCGCCCAATCACTCGTGGTAAGTCTTCAGGTGACTTCCGAACCTTCACAAACTCGGTCACTCGGTGATCCACAATTCCTCTTGGATGCTCTAGACCTTGATGCCTAACCGTCTGGAAGAAGCACAGTCTTCAAAGGAAACAAGCGTCGGATCCATGCAGGATCAATCTCTTCAGTGATGCTCAATCACTTTGGGGTTTTGTAGGTTTGGGTTTGGGATTTCCTCACTTAATGATTTTCACTCAAAGTCCTCGGAGGATGGGTTGCTCTCAAATGAGAAGTGTCAGTTTCTCTCGGAGCAGCCAACCAACTAGTGGTTGTAGGGGGCGGCTATTTATAGCCAGGGAGCAGCCCGACATGATAAGACATAAATTCCCTTGTTTGATATGACCGTTAGGTGGGTACATATTTTGGGACAGCTGGCGCGTAGCACAGCAACGGTCGGAATATTTGAGGTTCGAATTCCTCAGGGCTATCATGTTCCTCACTTTGTAGGCAATCCGCACTGGCGGATTCCTAACTCTTCAGTCAGAACAAATTCCCCAGAGACCAGAAGAACTTCGTCTCTGTCACTGAAGAATATGACTGAACTGTGCGAGATTTCCAATGGCTTCACTCGAAAGGATTGGCAGGTGTAGGATTTTGAGTTGAGCCTCACATAGAAAATTTTCCTTAGTATTTCCTCGACCCCCTTTAACAGTACGGTGTTTCCTATGACTCAAGAAAGAGAAAATGAAACTACGAAAACAAAAGTCTTCACGCTTGATGTTCCTCGAATGATTACCAAGTCTTAAAGGTCACACCAATTTCTTCACTTTCAAAGTCCTCAGAAATCCAAAGTCTTCAGTTGAAGAACTTCATTTTTAGGGGTCGACATTCTCTGTAAATATCAAACTCCTCATAGACTTATAGACCTGTGTACACTCACAAACGCATCAGTCCCTTAACCTATAAGTCTTCAATACACCAAAATCACTAAGGGGCACTAGATGCACTTACATTCCTCTTCCTTATCTTCTTTCTCCATCGCCCGCGTCCCATCTCCGTTCTCGCTACTCTCTCCCCTTTCTGTGTTTGCGCCATGCTTCCCCCTCCTCCTAGCAGCAAATAAACCATGGTGGGGACCTCCCAAAATAGAGCACCGTGCGGCGGTGCCTTGCTGCTGCAAGCTCCATGGCCGGATTCCTCTGCTGGGCGTTGGCCATGGCCAGATTCGAAGCCATCTAGGAAGGGAATATTTTTTGCGCCATGGACAAGCTGCTAGGGGGCGTCAATGGTGAGGTTTGCTGGGGGCACCTCCTGCCAAAGCTACAAGCTGCCGCGTCCACTGTGGGTGCTGGAACCGGCCACCGTGGGTGCTACAAGCTACTGGCGTCGTTGCTGGAACTTGTAGCGGGAGGAGCTACAACCGGCAATCTCGTTTGCTACCAACGACACCCCCATATGCTGGAACAAGCCAACTGTTTTGCTGCAACTGGCACGAGGCACTGCCACGACGGTGAACTGCGACGCAAATTTTGCTGCAACCAGCAAACCAGAAGCTGGAACTGATGGAATTTTTTGCTACATCGGAGAAAAAAGCTTCAACCATGGAAAAGGGCTATGACCGGCATAGAGCAAAGGTTCAAACGTGGAGAAAAGCTTCAACCAGCATCGAGAAAAGCTTCAACCAATGTGAAAAAGAGTTTCGGATCAGAATCGGAAAAAGCTTCAACTATACAGCAAAAAAGCTTCAATCGGTGTAAAAAAAGCTTCCACCGTGAATCTTCAAAAACCGGCGCCGCCGGCTGGCGATGGTATGAGCGGCGACATCGGGAGCTATGGCCGGCAGTATGGTGTTGCTGCGACGAGCGTGTTACGACGGCGACAACTAGTTTCTACAAGGGCAGAGGCACCAGGCGTTCTACAAATGGCGGACATTGCTACGAGGGCGACGACTGGATGCTGCGGCAGCGCCCTGCTGGAACCGGCGGGAAGGCGAGTGGCGGCGAGTCGCCGGCACTTCAAGGTGGGGGCGCTCTTGTATCCATGGCGAGCAAGGTTGTTGTAGGGACGTCAATGGCAGAGTGAGATTTTTCTCTGTGTCGTTGAGGTAAACGATGATTCGTTTTTAAATCAATCGTACGGTACAAATTGTTTTAATCATGCGGCTGGTAGTTTCGGCCGGCGCGTAGTACTCGCCATAAGATAATGGAGATGAATCTCTTGTGTATATTATAGGGTAGCATATGAGGCCCTTTCCAAAATATCAAATATGTAGGCGCTTGAGAAGTGCATTTTGGATATTTGACAAAAATTAGGGTTTATCCTTTTAGGAAAAAAAACATGAGGGTTGATCTAATCTCCATTTCAACTCAAATATAAAATGGAATATGATAAGATGCCTTTGACATTAGCATGAAGCACAATCAATTTCTAATAGAAGTGTTGGTACTGAGACAAAAAAAAACGCTACTACTACCTCTCTTTCTAAAAATAAATATAATGCGTTTTTGGTAGTTTTACATCTAGGAACAGGAGGGTGTACGTCGACCGACGTTTACAGAGGTTTTACCGAGCCTTCTCCGTGGTCCGTGGATCTAGCTTAACTCGTCCTGACATGATACAAGTGCGAATGCCGTCTCCAGGTTGGAGACAATGTCGGCCATGTGCGGCCGGTCTTTGCCATGGAGCCGCACGCAGTGCACAGCCGTGTAGGCCACCAGCTCGATGGCCTCGGCCTGGACCGGCGTCGGCTCAGGCGCCCGCCTGTCCAGTACCTTGCTGAGCTCCCCGGCCACGACGCTGGGCTGCGCGTAGTCGACCACACTCACGGGGCTCCCGCCCTGGGCCTCCTTGAATATGGCACGCTTCCCCGTGAGCGTTTCAAGCATCACCACGCCGAAGCCGTAGACGTCGATCTTCACGGTGAGGTGGTGCAGGTCGCTGTAGTACTCCGGGTCTATGTACCCCACCGTGCCGGCGGCCTTCGTGGACAGGTGCTGCTGCACTTGCGACCCTGCCCCGTCCGTCTGTGGTGGTTCCATCAGCGACAGCCCGAAGTCCGACACGCACGCCACCCAGCTGCCGTCCAGCAGGATGTTGGACGACTTGATGTCGCGGTGGATAATGGGCGGCACGGCGTACGAGTGCAGGTACTCAATGCCGCGCGACGCGTCCAGCAGGATCTTGATGCGCAGGTTCCATGATGAGACCACCGGGGACGCGACGTCGCCGTCCACGCCCTTGGGGTGGAGGTGGTCGTAGAGCGCGCCGTTGTTCATGTACTCGTACACGAGCAGCCGCTCGTCGTTCTCCTCACAGTAGCCCAGGAGGCCGACGATGTGCTTGTGGTTGAGGCGGGAGAGGAAGGCGAGCTCCGACCTGAACGCACTCTCCTCCTGGAAACTGCGCGCCGTCGGCCCAGACGACTCCCCGCGCTTGATGGCAACCTCGCGCCCGTCCGGGAGCTTGCCCCGGTACACCGTGCCGAAGCTTCCTGCGCCGATCTTGGCCTTGGGCGCAAAGCCGTTCGTCGCCGTCGCCAGCTGCGCGAAGGTGTACTCCCCGGTGTTTTCCTTGAAATTTAAGGACGACGGCCCGCTGCGCTGCCGCGTCATGGCGCGGGAGAGCAGCCGCCCGAAGAAGCCACGTGCCCGTGAGATGGCGCGGACGACGATGCCGCCGACGGCAGGGGCGTTGCTGGCGAGATCAATCCTCTCTCCAATCTGATCCGGAAGATGTGCTCTGCCCATCCCAAGACATACAAGTTGGAAAAGGCAACAGAAGTGGCATCCACGAGTAGCTTCAGCAAGAAGAGAAGATTGCTTGTTCTAGTTAATCAACTAGTACAACTGAAAAATCCATACCTACTGTCAGCTTGCTTGTCCGCAACAGTTTTCCAATCTGAAAACGAAGACGACCTAATGGCAGCAAAGCGTTTAGCCACCACCAAAACTCAATTAGCAAAGAGCATGAATGAGAGAGAAATCATTATCCATACCTGCTGTGAGCATCTTCGCAGGTGCCCTTTTGAAAGGCTCGATGCTGTTCCACTGAGTCTTCCTCCATGATATAGTATTTCTTTTGCAGAATCATGTGTTCTTCCTCTTGTTCCTCCATTGAGTCTTCCTCCATGATATCGTATTTCTTTTGCAGAATCATGTGTTCTTCCTCTTGTTCCTCCATTGAGTCTTCCTCCATGATATCGTATTTCTTTTGCAGAGTCGTGTGTTCTTCCTCTTGTTCCTCCATTGAGTCTTCCTCCATGATATCGTATTGCTTTTGCAGAGTCGTGTGTTCTTCCTCTTGTACACTGCTATTATTGTCATCCTTAACACTGAACATCCTGTCTAAAGACTGTATGTTAAAGGTGGGGCGTGCCGGATGCATCTCAATAGCGTCAATCAACGCTGATTCTGCAGCCCTTCTATTGGGGTCAATAGCACCAACACCCCCAATTTTTGCAGAGATTTCCTTAAGGCCTGTTAAGTGCATGATGCCGACAGGTATAATACGGGGTTGATACTTTCCATGGGCATCGAAACCTAGCTTGAGTTTCAATAGATTAGGCATTGCATTCACCTCAAATTCCAGCCAAGGTACACTGCACCTGAACTTGAAGCACTTGAGAACCGAGAATCCTGTCTTAGTGAAGACAATCCTTCCTGCAGGCTTTGCTCGGACATATAACGACAAAACGGTAAGTGCAGGCAACCTTCTGAGAACATCAACATCACTGCTCGTTAGCTCCCTAACCCCAATCTTCAAAATGCAGAGCTTGTTGAGATGTCCAATCCACTTGGGGATGGTGGAGAAGGTGCAGATGCACGGCAACCACTCAAATCTCTCAAGAAGCGCCGGAGGAGAGGAAACGCTGCTCAAGCCATCACAGGAAATGCTCATGCTGGAAGATCCTCTGTCCAGAATACCTGAAGGCTTCAGAGTTACGGACCGAAGGTTGCTGAGTTTCGCAAGAATAGTGCCCATAATATCCATTTTGCTCTTTAAATAAGAAGAATGAACAGTAGAACAAGTGAGCCGAAGATCCCGAAGATTGGCCAGCTCAATAAGGCTCTGCACATTATCTATCGAGTTAACACTTAGATCAAAATATCCAAGGGTGCAAAGTGATGCCATGCGGCCAATACCATTGGGCAGATTTGTTTCAACAGGGAGACTTAAGTGCAATAAGCCCGGCAAATGGACAATGTCTGACGGAACTGCACTTACTTTTGCATCTATTTTCAGTGTCTCCAAATATTGTAGACCTCGCCTTTGGGTTTGTGGTAATTCTAAGGTGGCATTACATGTGACATGCAAATATCTCAGCCGAAATAGCTCAGATATTCCAGTGAGATCAACACAGATGTTTTCATCATCGCCCCAAAGATGAAGGATTAGAACTTGAAGAAGCCCGAACTCCACGATGGAAGGCAAACACTTGATGACCCCGAAAAATGCGAGAGTGCGAACTTGTGATAGTCTCATATTTGTTGGTGGCGTTGCTTCTGCATTACCAAAGTGAAGAGACAGTCGACGAACCTTGTCTACGAGTGGTGCAGTTGTCTGACAATTATCTATTGCTGTAACAAAATTCTCTTCAAAGGACTTATGTTTGATAAAATCAAGTACCATGTGATGCACTGTGCAGGACAAAACATCATTGTTGTCACTTATATGTACAGGTTGGATCAGTCTTCTACTGATTAGCTCACCGAAACAGATCCTTGATATTTCTTCCATGTCTTCCTCTTCTGTTGCATGGATAAAACCTTCCGCTATCCATTGTTTTACCAAATCATCTTTCAGAATAATGTAGTCCTCTTCGTATATACTGAGATACATCATACATGCCTTGCTGAGGAAGATTGTTGTAACTAAGGTTTAGTACATGTTTCGTTCCTTCCAGGCTAGGATTTGTCCTCAAATCATAACCCAAGCATTCATTTACATAATCCCATCGCTCTGGTTTTCCCATCTGATTTACCAAAAGACTGGCAACAATAACCATTGCTAGTGGTAAACCAGCACATTTCCTCACAATGCTGTGTGCAGCTTCACTGAGTTCCGGAGGACATTCGTGTTGTGGACCAAGAGTTGTGTTCAAAAATAATTTGCTTGAATCATTGTGACCAAGTGGTTTCATCGTAAGAACATACTTAGAGTCATAACCACAACATTTCAGAGCTAGATCGTCGACTTCTGTCGTGATTAGTATTCCACTGCAAAGATTACCAGCCGGGAAAGCACGATTAATAATATCCCATGTATGTGTAGCCCATATGCCATCAATGACGATCAAGTACCTGTAGAATGTTTTAGCATAGTTGTCAACCACGAGAGATCTATCATTCCATCCTTACTGAATTAGAAGGAAAAATTGAGTGGCTCAGCATAGCTGCATACACAAATATTATCAGTGACTTATCATTTTACAAGTGCTTGAAATCTTCACCGTCACCGAAATATCACTGAACTAATGAAGACATCAGACCAAAAACCATTTTCTTGCGCTAAGATGACACATTAACATGTTTGTATAATGAAAATCACACCAAGGACCTGCTGAAAAGATTTAAATTCCTGTCCAGAAAATGCAACTCTTATTATGAATCAAAAGATAAACATGTATACCTCTTATCTCGGAGATGTGTCCTGATATCGGCAATAAGAGTATGCAATTTCCAAGTCTGAGGGGGGTGGTGTGGCCGGACTTGTGAGAGCAAATTGAGGAGAAGCCTCCTGATGTGAGGCTTTCGGGACGTCCTCACAAATGCCTGGCACTCGAATTGCCCTCTGATTCTACGGTACAGCTCTTTGGAAAGTGTGGTCTTACCAATCCCTCCAGATCCAACAACAGATACCACCTTGAGCTTCTGCTCTCCATCCTTACCTAGCCACGCTTCAAGTGTATTCAGATGTTCATCAATACCGACAAGCTCCCCGTGCAGTGTGGGATACCAAGAGCCAAAAGACACATCACGTCTAGGAGCAGTGATGCTGCCAGTGCCACCAAGGCTAAACATGCTGTATCGTTGAAGCGCCTCCTGGGAGCGCATGCTGAACTCCCTGATCTTGTTGGCCATCCATAGCCGCCACTTGAGCTTCTCGGAGAGCCAGGTGGTGGTCCTACTGTCCCGGCGAGTGACCTTGTACTTCTTGCGGCGAGGCGATAACATTCCTCTCCTGGAATTGGCGGCGTGCACGTACTGGTCGACACTGTCCTCCACGTCGTACGAAAGCTCGCGCACCTCCTTGGTCAGGCACTTGACCATCATACAAGTGTCCTCTGCTCCCGAGTCGTCGTGCTCCTGGAGAAATGCTATCATCCTCTCTAGATCTTGCTTGATGAGAGGTATCTCGTCCTCTGCGCCCCGGGGCAGCATGTGGCCGTGGCTGGCCAGTAGCCCGTCGAGCTTCGCGGGGAGCCTGAACATGGCGTCGGCCATAGCGCAGACTGGAGCCTCGGTGTGGAGCTTTTGAAGTGTCTTCTTGGTCTGACGAGTTTGGTCGACCTGTAATCCGAACTGTTGAGGTCCCCTCTTGTTGTAGCCGTCACCGAATCTGTCGTTTGCCGTCGTATCCGCCGGCGAGGAAGGCTTGACAGCGTACTTCAGACTCCACGGGGACATCGGAGCGGACGGCGGCAGGAGCGAGTGCCCCTGCACGACCTCATCCATCTGGTGGTCCTGGGTCTGGGCCTCGGAGGGGAGCGAGCCAGAACTTTGGCCGGTTATCGGCTGCACTAGCTCCTTGAACTCGCTGGGATGCATGCGGGTGACCGTGGGCTGCGGGCAGAGGCTCTGCTGCTCCTCCCGGCGGCCATGCCCCTGCGCCTGGGACTTCTCCGGCGCCCCGGGCGGCTTCTCGATGGCGAGCGACCCCACCGGCGATTCGACCCGCCACTCCGGCGAGGAATGCGCGTCCATCAGCGGCTGGGATCCTCCGAGGGCGGCGGCGGCGGAGGAGGAGAGGGCGCGCACAAGGCGGACGGACGGGAATGGGGATGGGGATATGAAGCAGGGAGACCACGAGCTCGGCAAGACAAGTCAAAGTATCTACTTATCGTGTTGGTTTAGTAGACCGGAGCGGGACCCACAGACCAATTAAGATTGACGCCGGGCCTGAGAAGCTCCCACCGCCACTGACACCGACTGCTCCGACGCCGGCCACCAACGGTTCTTTTCTCTGGATAAGGGCATCTCCAGTCGTTGGAGCCTCCGAGGACAATTGCCGGATCCAAAATAGCACGTCCTAGGGCAAAACACTTCCGCCGGCGTCTTCATGAACCCGTGTTCCCAGTCGTTAGCGTCCTCAGAAGAATCGCTGAGCACAAAGTGATTGGGTGAGCCAGAAAAAAGAATGCATGGAGGAGTAGGATTGGTCGTTGCCTCCGCTGACACCCCCAGGAGCCCCCCAACGCGCTGGGTTTGTGCTGGGTTTGCCGGCGCTAGTATGAGGTCTTGGGGGCACTTGGGGGGCATGGCTGGTCTGTTTTTTTGCCGCTTTTACGGTGCCGGCGCAGAGAAAGTGGTGCTGGGGTGGCACTTGGGGGCGGCTGAAGATGCTCTAAGGCTGGCCATAGTAGTGCGATCACTCAAGAATAGCAAACATGCTAATATGAAAAATAACTAAAAAAGGGGGAAAAGTTTACCTTCAGCCGGCTGATGCACGCGCGAGCGTCCGCCGCTTGCATAGCCGTCAGATCAATCCTGATCAAGCGGCCACGCTGGCCACAAGTCAGTCTCACGCGGCCAGTTTTTTCTTACAATAAGGGTCCTGTTTCACTAGATTTCTACAACACAGGACTAGTTTCAGAAAGAAAGAAAAATGACTCGGTGGTGAAGGTTTTTTTCCTGCAACTGGGGTCTTGTTTCAAAAGATTTTGGCAACATATCTTTTGTTTCATAAAGAAAACAAAAGTTTCGGTTGTGAAGGGCTTTTTCTACAACAAGGGTCTTGTTTCAGAAACATAGCCCGAGTTGCAGCGCCGTAGGAGCGCCCGATGTTAGAGAGTGAATGGTCAGACATTGCAACATGAGGCATGTTTGAGAAACATAGCTACAGTTGCAAAAACGCCGAAGAAGCGTCGGGCGTGAGAGGTCGTCGCCATCGTGCTCGATAGGAGCTAGTAGCTTCTCGCGGGGCTGAGACAGAGGAGGAGCAGCAACTCTGGCGAGCATGACAAGGACTAGTTCCCCCGTTGCGCCGGTGGTAGCGATTTTGTGGTGGCGGGGGCTGGCGCCGCGCTGGGCGCGGCTGTGTCAGGACGGTGCACAGGGGAATCTGTTTCGAAACTGAACGGTTGTTGCAGGAAGTAAGAAGGTGGGCACGGGCGTGGTGGTTAGATCTGACAGCTGTCAGAGCACTGATCCAACAGAGCTCCATGCGGCAGATGTTTCTAATATATCCACCGGCGGACGCATAGCGGCTCCCTAAAAAAAGAGGGTTACAATAACATAAATAGACATCGTATCATAAAAATGATATACTATTTTGTGTCATGCATAATAATAATTAAGATCATAGTATATATATGATACTACTCTATGATATTATGCACTATGAAGGTAATATAATGCACTAATGTCATATGCATGATACTAGTATATACTCCCCCACTATGAGTAGCTGGATCACAGGGGTGGTTCTCACCCTAAATTTTCGGCCAAGTGAGTGTTTCCCTGATTACTTCAAAAGTTACGGAAATGACAAAAAATGTTCGGGTTGCATGCTTACAATCCAAACGTTCGGGATTTATCGGGGCCCAAACTACGAAAGGTCTCTTTAATTCATCCTTTTGATTTGAAAGGCCATAACAATGTTTGGTTAGTTTCATAGGAAAATAATTTTACAGTCCAACTCAACATCTTTTTTACATTCTTATGCAGCAAGTTGTTCTTCATTGAAGGATGCTTGGTTCTGATCAGTTATGTTCTTGCAAACACGATTCCCTATGTACTCTAATTTTTCTAACTCCCTAAAGGGATCCTATAAACACTAGATTATTTCATATCAGATTCTTTTGACAAGGAGACAATGAAAAGAAAATGTAAAGCCTAACCAAATGAAGTGTGGTTTGTCGACCGAAAGACTGGAGATGTTTATGTATGAAGATCTCCAGGTCAAAAATGTTGTCTTGCTTATTAAATGGTAGTTCAAGTTATTTAACAAGGATGGAGTTTGGCAAACTTTACTACATAATAAATATCTACGAAAAGAAGTTGTGTCCCATGCATACTGGAAGCCTCGGATGTGTTTGGTTCACATCTCTGTTGTAGGGCATTTTGCATACTTGTCCCGATTGGGTCTGGTTGGACAAATGCAGGCTAAAAACCAACATCTTCATGTAGTTTGGTTGCCCGCATTAGGCTTCATGCATGAGGGGAGCAATTAGTTAGCATGATGTTTGGTTGCTTGCATCGTTGTTGTTGGTTGCGCAAACGACTAAAGATGTGATCACCGCTTCTCACTAGTGGTGACCTTACCTCACACACACTGAACATTGTCTTGTCCTAGCTAGGAAACGAATGACAGTTTATCCTAACTACTAGCAAATGACACTACAAGTTATTAAGAGCCAATATGGCTGAATAGGGAAAAGTTCAACGATGCTAACTAGGTGGAAGCTCATCCTCTTCATCCTTGTCTGACCTCTGTTATCCCACATTGTCTGAGTCCACTCCAACATTTTGTTCTTCCACACTTCATTGTCGAACGCCTCCACACCAGGGCCGGAGCTGATCACCTCATTAGGAGACGCATCTTCCTCCTCAAGCACAAGTTCAACAATTCCTCATTGCAGGATTCAGTTGTAAATGATGCAACATGCAAGAACAAGTTTGACC